AATTCAGACCTACAGGGAGTCTGAACTGAACTCGAACTGTTATCCCAAGTTAAACCAAAGGTAATTGGACCTCAGTTTGCTAACATGCTAATCAGCCTCAATCAAGAACATTTCTCTTTTTTTGCATTATAAACAGATTCAAGGACAGAAAGTCAGAGCTATGTTTTTTCTCATGGCTGTGTGGTATGAGCACTCTATGTATATGTATGGGAAACTGAATAAAAATTATGTCCCATGTGCACACGTACCCAAACGTCACCAATTTTCCATTACCCCTATCAGTCTTTAAGACTGAAGATTAATAGTGTCCCAGCGTAGATATGCCCACGCTAGCTCTTTGTCAGCCATTTTTGTGTGATAAGACATCACAGTGTGAGCATACAGCCACATGAATGCAGTTATGCTGCTTTCAAGCCTAAGCTATCTCTGAACATTGTGTAGCCAGAATGAATACACCTGGCGAGAGCAGTCTGTCTCTGGGGAGAGCAATGCAGGAGATCCCTGGTCTTTTCTGGAAGCATTACCCACACTTTCCCTTTTTCTGGATTATCTCAATGCCCTCATATTCAAATTAGCTAAAGCACTTTTACCAACTTGCGCTCAAAACATAGTAGATTTAAAACTGCGGTGAGTATGCACACAAATATTCCAAAGCATGCCTGAAACCACTATGAGTAAAGTGGAAATGAGTGAAAACATGATAGCTAAAAGGGCCTGTGAAATTTGAGTGCAGGACAAGAATTTTAGCCAGACCTTTGAGATCAAGGCTAACATGTATAAAGCTAAATGTCTCAAGCATCTACAGATACTTGATCTACTTGTTTGTCTCTGGGGAGAGCAATGCAGGAGATCCCTGGTCTTTTCTGGAAACATTAGCCACACTTTTCCTTTTTCTGGATTATCTCAGTGCCCTCTTATTCAAATTATGGAAAACTGACCATAGAGGAAAAGGGGTGACCTAGTTCTTGGTGTGTAGAACAATTGTCTTCTTGGGAATTGTAATGATAATAGCACAGCCTCTGGGGCCAAGTGCCAGGCTGTGGGGAGGAGCGCCTGGCAGCTGGAGGAACTCCAAGGACGGCTACCCATTGGTACTGCCACCATTGTTTGTACATCAGTTTAAAAGATATCTTTTTGTGTGTTTCAGGTCATGCAAGACAAGATAATATGCCTTCCAAAGCGCATACAGCCTTGCCAGAACCAATCTAATAGTTCAAATGAGTTTAACACAATCCCAGATACAACCCCCCTTCCTCCACCCAAGCCATCCACCCCTCCAGCTACGGTTGAAATGAAAGGACTGAAGACTGATTTGGACCTTCAGCAATACAGCTTTATCAATCAGGTGTGCTACGAACGTGCCCTGCACTGGTATGCCAAGTACTTCCCCTACCTTGTCCTTATACACACACTGGTCTTCATGCTGTGTAGTAACTTTTGGTTCAAATTCCCCGGATCGAGCTCCAAAATCGAACACTTCATTTCAATACTTGGGAAATGTTTTGATTCTCCCTGGACGACAAGAGCCTTATCTGAAGTCTCAGGGGAAGACTCTGAAGAGAAAGATAACAGGAAGAACAACATAAACAAGTCTGCTACTGTCCAGCCAAGCACTGAAGGCACTTTGGTCAAAACACAGTCTTTGAAATCAATCCCTGAGAAGTTAGTTGTGGATAAGGGGACACCTGGGGCATTAGATAAGAAAGAAGGTGAACAGGCCAAAGCACTGTTTGAAAAGGTGAAGAAATTCAGACTGCATGTTGAGGAGGGTGATATACTCTATGTCATGTACGTTCGCCAGACTGTGCTTAAGGTAATTAAATTCCTTATTATTATTGCTTATAACACAGCACTTGTCTCAGAAGTTAATTTTACAGTAGTCTGTAATGTTGATATAGAAGACATGACAGGATATAAGAATTTTTGCTGTAATCACACAATGGCACATCTATTCTCCAAACTTTCCTACTGCTACCTGTGCTTTGTAAGCATCTATGGCCTGACATGCCTTTACACACTATACTGGTTATTCTATCGTTCACTGAAGGAATATTCTTTTGAGTATGTTCGGCAAGAGACGGGAATTGATGATATCCCAGATGTCAAGAATGACTTTGCTTTTATGCTGCATATGATCGATCAGTATGATCCTCTGTATTCCAAGCGATTTGCTGTCTTCCTGTCTGAAGTCAGTGAAAATAAGCTGAAACAGCTGAACCTAAACAACGAGTGGACCGCAGATAAGCTGCGACAGAGGCTACAGACAAACTCCCATAACCATTTGGAGCTACAGCTTTTCATGCTGTCTGGACTACCGGACACGGTTTTTGAAATCACTGAGCTGCAGTCTTTAAAACTTGAAATAATTAACAATGTAATGATACCAGCAACCATTGCGCAGTTGGACAATCTCCAGGAGCTCTCGTTGCACCAGTGCTCTGTGAAGATCCACAGTGCCGCCTTGGCGTTTCTGAAGGAGAATCTCAAGATCTTGAGTGTGAAGTTTGATGACATCAGAGAACTTCCACACTGGATGTATGGCCTCCGAAATTTGGAAGAGCTCTATTTAATTGGCTCCCTAAGTCACGATATTTCCAAAAACATTACACTGGAGTCTTTTCGGGAACTTAAAAGCCTTAAAGTTCTTTACATTAAGAGTAATTTGTCCAAAATCCCACAATCTGCAGTCGATGTTTCAAGCCACTTGCAAAAATTGTGCATCTATAATGACGGCACTAAGTTAGTGATGCTCAACAACCTGAAGAAGATGGTCAACCTGACACAGCTGGAGTTGGTTCATTGTGATTTAGAGCGCATTCCTCATGCAGTCTTCAGCCTTCTCAGTCTTCAGGAATTGGATCTAAAAGAAAACAACCTCAAATCCATTGAAGAAATAGTAAGTTTTCAACATCTGCGAAAACTGACAATCCTAAAGCTGTGGTACAACAGTATAACGTACATCCCAGAGCATATAAAGAAACTCACTAGTCTCGAGCGGCTTTCCTTCAGCCATAACAAAATAGAGGTTCTTCCATCCCACCTATTCCTATGCAACAAAATCAGATATTTGGATTTGTCTTACAATGACATTCGCTTTATCCCACCTGAAATAGGAGTTCTGCAGAGTTTACAATACTTTTCCATTACTTGCAACAAAGTGGAGAGTGTGCCAGATGAACTATACTTTTGCAAAAAACTTAAGACTCTGAAAATTGGGAAAAATAACTTGTCAGTCCTTTCACCTAAAATTGGTAATTTGGTATTCCTCTCCTACTTGGATATTAAAGGCAATCACTTTGAAATCCTCCCACCCGAGCTCGGTGAATGTAGAGCTCTGAAGCAGTCTGCTTTCATTGTAGAAGACACTTTGTTTGAAACGTTGCCTTCTGATGTCAGGGAACAAATGAAAGCTGAATAACTAACTTCCTCTCGCTCAGTTTTACAGGAATAACTCTTCTACCAAATACGCTGTAGAAAGTGCATACTCTGAATATGCATTTAGTTTGTCATTATTATTTTTTTCTTTTTCAAACAAATCCTTTCTGTACAAACACATTTGGAGTAAGGAGTACATATATTTTTAAATAAAATTTTCTCGTATTTTTTCACTGTTTTAAGGTATTTTTTAAGTTTGTTTTGCCCTGAGAGCAAGGGTATCTGTAACTTAATTTTTACTGGTAAAAGTAAATGGTTTTATCTGCTGATTTTTTTTTTTTTCCTTTGCCTAATCCCAACAGGGGAACTGTGCTTAAACTGTGTATGTTGGGTTGCATAATTTGTAATAGATGATTATATTGTCTTCCTAGTTTTTGTTAATCCCTTAGGATGTGGTCTTCAATGGCTGGTGCTGCAGGTGTTGAATACCCTGTTTCCTCTCTTCTTCAGTGGCAGTAGAAGGTCTTCAACATCTAACAAGATCAAACCTGGGTTGACCATCCTGTTTTATTTATGATGTGGTATTCTCAGATGATCAAAGCAAGTAGAAAAAGTTCTTTACATGTTTCAATGGGTCTGAGGGAGCATGCAGAACTCCTTCAGGGCCTTTTGGCAAGTTTAGTCTAGCTCTCAGTTCACGCACCGCGCCGAGCAGGAGGCACTGACTGTGTTTTCCTCTCCGGGGCAGGAAGAGTAAGGTCACAGTTCACAGAGGAGTCAGGACCAAAGTGACTCACGCTGGAGATTTTCCAAACAGTGCAAAGGGATGCGGCTGCCCATTTCCTGCTAACTTGAATGGAAGGGGTGCAACGAACTCACTGTGTTGGAAACATCAGCCCAGCGAGATGAAACGCTATCTTGAAAAAGCCCCTACCCATCCTCCACTAAACACCCAGCCTGCAAGGGGACAAGTGTCCTCTGCCTCCCTCACTTCACTTCCCACCGGGATGCTTGCAGGAATGAGATCCAGAAAAAGTGCAATCCTGTTTAATTTGTAAAGCTTCTGACAAGGAAATAGCATCTAATACTCTCCTTAATTGAGCCTGGGTATCATATGACCAAGCTCAGTGTAGGAACAGTTGCAGATATGCAAAAATGAGATTAAACGAATACTTTAACTTCTCTAAAGTCCCAACCTGCCAGAGAACAGTGATGGAGGCTATGTTTTCATCTCCCAGATAGTAATTAAATTGGAAATCATACAGTTTGAAGTCTGCTGTTTGAAACAACAAAATAATCTGTAATGATTATGCATCAGGTTGGGAACATTATCCTCTGAAGCCATGTTCAGTTGTTTATTTAATCCAGCCATTTGCTTTCATTTAGGCAAGGTATATGGCGGGTTCATTTTTTTGGCAGGTATATGATAACTCATGTGCTCCTCACAAGCTGATTTAAGCTAATCAAAACTAACCATATCACAGAATCACAGAATTTTAGGGGTTGGAAGGGACCTTCAGAGATCATCTAGTCCAACCCCCTGCCAAAGCAGGGTCCCCTGGAGCAGGCTGGACAGGAACGTATCCAGGCAGGTTTTGAATATGTCCAGAGAAGGAGACTCCACAATCTCTATGGACAGCCAGTTCCAGTGCTCTGTCACCCTCAAAGTAAAGAAGTTTTTCCTCATGTTGAGAAGGAACTTTCTGTGTTCCAGCTTGTGTTCATTGCCCCTTGTCCTGTCACCGGGCACCGCTGAGAAGATCTCCTCATCCTGACCAACAACACGCTTGAATCAGATGCGGGCACTGCTTTGCAAGAATATCTAGGAATAAGTAGTTCTTTCTCTAGCAGGCAATGCTGTTTATAAATTGCAGATGACGAGTTGCTCATTGTTTAAAGTTATGTAAAGTAATTGCCTGACGGTTGTCAGGTTGGTTGCTCTTAAATGTTTTCTAATTGCCATTGCGTGTCTTGAGCTACAGTTAATCTGAATTCTTGAGCTTGGTACAAAAGCATACTGTTGTTTTAAGAGTCTGACTTAGAAAGGTGGGGAGATGAACTAATTTGCTTACTCTGACTTAGAAAGGTGGGGAGATGAACTAAAAGGAAAATTTCCTCATGAATCCAGGGTGTGCTATGCAATCTGGTATGTGGGCTTGCCACAGTACCAAGTCAGACTTATTTTTTGCGCTTGGCTATGTTCTGGAGAAGATCCATGTGATTAATCAAAAATGGGTCAGGCATGAAGGAATCAAAGCAAGCTTATTTTAAAAGGGGTTTTAGTTCTATTAAAGACCTATAACTGATGTAGCTATTGCGAGAGCTACCCTTGTGTATGGAATGCACTTATTGAAACAACTTGGCAGTATATATATTCTAAATGTATTTCACTTTGATGTAATGTGGGGGAGAGAAATGTGTCATTGCTCATTTTAACCTAATTATATAAACCAAAGTGCTGTTGTCCCTGATGAATGTAAACTGTTTAAAATGTCCATGTAATCGGTGGAGCTGTATAGTTCTCTCACTTAGATTTGAAATACGGGATTACATTTAAAGTTTTTTTAAAAAAATCTTTATATTCCTAGATGTAGCATTTTAAATCCCTAATTTATTTTGTGTCTGATGTTGTTTTTCATGTGTAGTTTGTGGTCTGTTTTCTGAATGGAAGTTATGCACACCTCATCACTGAAGGTTGGAAGCTTGTTCTAGGCCATTTTTGTAAATACATCACTTAGGGGATGTGAAGTTTTTGTTACTGATTATACTGATACCAGTGCAACCCCTCATGTGGACACAGTTACATGAGTACAAAGTGCCTTGTGCTGGTATATCTTTATTCACCTTCTAGACAGGAATAAACTATACCGGTCTAAGCACTTTCACGCTAATAACTGTATCTTCTCCAAGGGTTTGATCTGCTGAGACACCTTAGTCAATCTAACAGCTCACTGCCACCAAAAAGGGGCAGTTACCTCCTCCTCCTGTGCTCCCTATTCCTGTCAACATATTCCAGCTGCTTCTCTTGTACCTTTACTGGTCTGGTGCTGGTCTGATCCCTCCACAGGACAAATCAACTTTTTAAGCCAGCAGAAAACTAAGCCAGTTAAAAAAAGGAGCTAATTTTCTGCTGGATCAGCTCTCCAAAGGGTCGGATAGACACTAGGGTGGGAGTAGCAAGGGGACAGGACTCTGCATCCAGGGTCTGGGCAAGGAGAAGGTGGGACAGGTCACTTTGGAGGTGCTGAGCTGCTTGGTCAGTTCATCATCTTGCTGAGCCATGTGCTTGGAGAGCTATGCTGTTTTATCTATAGCAGGGTTAGGCGGCATGGCTTTCGTGGGTAGACAACCCTCAGGCTCACAGTGAATGATAAAGTATCACATTACTGTTTATTGCTTAAACTTAATTGAACAAACTCAGGTAGCTGCACTGTTGACTTTTCTAAACTTCTTACTGTCTAGTCTGTGGGGTGTATTTTCCAAAACCGTATTACAGTATTTTAGAAATGCGTCAGCTAAGAGGAGATTGTTTCCTAATTCTGTATGACATCCAGGAAAATATGTAAAAGTGCCATATTTACTCAGTGATTCATGTACTGCTCATATGTATATTCACATGCAACGCATACTAGACTTTTCTGTGACCTATAGTATTTGACTTAGAATGGATGGGCATTTTGTGGATAATACTTTAGGCATGGTTTGTATGAGTTTATATAACTACTTACATTAAACAGGTGCCTCACAAGACACTTCCAGAATATAAGCAAGGCATTTTACATTATCGCTCAAAAATAATACAAATCTTCCTTGGTAACGGAAGCAGAGATGACAAAGAGCGCATCAAAAATAGGAAGACAACCTTAATAGTACATTAAGCCTGAATAGCAAATCTACTTTGTGATTAAAATCTGGAGGTGTTCATCTCCTCCTTTGCCAAAATTAGGATGGATATTTGTGCTGACCTCGTGCATCTGGCCAGACCAGCAACTTTTGTAAATTCTGATTGGAAAGCGCCCGCTCCAAGTCTCGTATCACATTTCTGGCACTTCCACTAATTCATGTGCTTAAGTGGTGACGAGTCCTGTAAGAATACCAAGGAAAAACTTTGAAATTTGACCAAACGGACAAACTTCTTAATTCTGTAGCAAGAATCTTAATATGATAATAGACCTGCATAGTGTTACATTGCAATATAGTACACCCAGAAAAAATGGAAATAAAATATTCTTTTGTAATAATGAACATTGTCAGACTGCAATGTGATTATTTGTTTGGGAAACGTTTTGTTTCTGGGTTACCTAAAGATCAGGCATAACCATCTTCTGGGTTTGATCCCTCGGGAGGGAAGTCAGGAAAATATGCTTGAAAAAACATCGTTAGACTTGACGGGATTTATAGCCGCGTGGCCTCGCTTCCTGTGCACCTCCTGCCATCCCCTCGCTTGGGCAGCCAGCAAAACGGACAGCAAAGAAGCCTTCCCAGTGGGAGCAGCTCCCCTGCTCCGGTCCCTGTGCTCTGCTGGGGTGGGGAGGGGGGATGCCAGGGACCCTGCCAGCCCAGGGGGCACGAGGGCTCCAGCCTCCCCCTGCCTCGGAGGGAAATGATGCTGTTAGCCCTTGCGTCTGACGTAACCCTCTATAAATCTCCCGACCAGAGGCGATGGGCTCATGCTGTCTGCGTTTGGCATGCTACATTTTCCTCATTTCTCTGGATCTTTAAGTTGGGAGCGATAATGCGTTTCAGATTTGTTTTTTTATACCAAGACAATGCTGTCCAGCCAAGATGGAGCAAGAAATGCTCCTCTCCGGTCCTTGTGGTCCCAGGGAGAGGAGAAAAGTGGCAAGTGCAGCACCCCAACTCAGCTTTGCCTCTGGATGAGCCCCGGCAGGGAGCTGGTACCAGGGACGTGTCGCCCCTGGAACACAGCAGGCTTTGTGGAGAAACAGGAGAAGCCTTGCTGATGGCGCCTGCTCTTAACCTCGGGGCTGTTCCCTGCAAAGATGTGGAGGGCTGGGAAAGCTGGTCTGCTCCTTGCAGCCTTGCTCCTTCCCACCCACCAGCCCCGCAGGAGATACCATCTCAGTGCCGCACCCGGCGGGATCGGAATGACGGCGAAGGAGAAACCGCCGCGGGGATCCCTGGGGTGATGAGATCATGCTCCCGGAGCAGATGTCGCCCTGTTTATTAAGCGTGGTGGTGGCAAGAGAAGTTCACAGCTCGAGTTAGCTGGGCCATGACAAACCTCTCCTTTCAGCAGTTTCCTGATTATGTCTGCTGGGGAGCGGGAGTTAAACGGAGCAGATACCATGCCCTGAGGAACCCCAGCCCCACGTCCCGGGGGTCTCCCAGGGCACAGCCCCACCAGCAGCTATCTCATCTGCTCACCCGCAAGCAGCGATGCCAGGGCCAGTCTGTCCTTCACTTCATGCCAAATAGCTGCTGGGAATTCCCAATAACTGTGATGGTTTGCTTAGATGTCTTCATATATTGCATCCAATACTGTGGGTAAAGGTAAGAAAATTGCATGTTTGTCCTCTTTCCTCCTTCAGAGCATACATGATGCCCCAACAATTCAGATGAAGAAGAGATTTCCATTCCTCTTCTTTTTTCATCTGTGGTAGCTTCAGAAATACCCCTCATGCCAAGGGTGCAGGTCTTCCCCTTTGCCCCCTTTGTCCTGGTAAGCAGCGGGGCCGCACGGGAGCGATGGCCCACAGGCAAAGGCCAGGGACATCTTGGGAGCAAGGAGACAGGAGTGGGTCTGCTGGGAGGGCAAGGATGAGCCCCTTGGCCTCCTCCCCACTGGGGCAGTGCCAGGGCAGTGCCAAGCAGGCTGTGTCCCACTGGCGTGGCAGCTTGGTGGGGCAGGTCTCTGCAGGTCCACCTCCACCCATGGGCACTTGTGTGCTCTGGGCTCAGCTCCTGGTTTCCCATCACGCGTCCTGCCCTTCATCATGCTCTTGTCTGTAGCACTGGGTGCAGAGGACAAATCTGGACTGGTCCTGCCTCATCCCCACTGGGATCAGAGAGGGCTGGCATGCTGCAGGGGGATGTCAGGTTTGGCAGACGTGCAATGGGTGGCAATGACCCCAGAGTTTCCACATAAGGAAGCCCAGACCAGCATAAGCACCTCGCTCCAGTCGTCTGGCTCCAGGCACATGTTTGCAGGAGCTTGTGCTGGCAGAGAGGTTGTGTTTTTATCGCTGTCTCGATACTAAATAGGCCATGTTGTGACTGGGCTGTGGCTGACGGCTTTGGCTCTGGCAAGCAAACTGTGAAGCTGCTCATGGTGGTTGGCGAGGCCATGATGTATCCTCACATGTGGGCTGTCTACAGGTGGACAGGCCTGAAATGGAGCTGGCTTTCAGAGCAGGGCTTCCTTTACTTGTCCCAGGCCAGGGAGGGCTCAAGGGTGCCGAGAGGTTGTGCTTACAATGAGAAAACAAATGCAATAACCTCAAGGAGTGCAACCCTCATGGCCAGTGGAGTTTGGTGGCTCTTGGCCAGGGCCAAATTCCCAGATACTGCCATGGGCAGCACTGGCAAGGTGTGTGATTCCAGGGTGTGGAGAAAAACACCTACATTGCAGGCAAGCTTGAACCATTCTGTTATCAAACATGATCTTATCAGCCCCTTCTCTCCTCTGTTGCCAAGGCTGATGAAGTTGCACATAAACTGGGGGTGTCTGGGTAACACATCCTGCAGCATCCTTGGCATGGGCATTGGAAATGGTAGTGGCAAGATGGTGCTTCCTTCAAAACCATTCAGATACCAACAGGCCAAATGGGACATGCGTCTCTGTGTCCCTTTACAGGGCTGCAATGTGTAGCTTGCATTAAAGGTGGAGCCTTAGCTACTTCAGATAACTGGAATTTTCCCCAGGAGCAAGACAGAGGTGGCAAAGGAATTTAGGGCTGCCAGATGCACTGGGAGCTCCAGAGCATGCAGAGATTGCAGTGAGGAGTCACTTGCTAGTGCATGTGTTGCCGCCAGCCTGGTGTGACACTGCAGAACATGTGCTGACTTGATTTGTTGTGCTTTTATATTTCTGGAGTAAGAGGGCTACTAATCTGTCTGTCAGAGGTATTTTGTCACATGAATTTTATGAACTGTGGTAAATAAGTGTTGATGTTTTGCTGAATTAAAATTGAATTTAAATGTAACTCTTTTCTCTTGCCAGTTGGGGTCATGTGGCACTATGAGACTGGCTTGTGGAGACAGCCTGCAGTTCTATTTATTTTGTAAAATATTTTGGCGAAGCTGTGGCATCCTGTTTCCTTGCTGTGAGCAGAGAGAAGAAAGTAGTTAAAGCAGCACAGAACTTCAGTACAGTCATAAGGTTACCCTTAGGAATAAGCTGCTGCTATGGCTAGAAGCTAAATGAGATTTTTACAAGTCCAGAACAAGTTGCAAGCAAAACCACAGAGCAAAGTAATCCCCTTGACAAAGAGTAACTTTAAGAAACTGAAGTGCCAGGAGCGACTGCAGGCAGAATCAGTGCTGGTGAGATCTGCAACCTCATTTATTCCATGTTGTCCCCTGTTTGTCCCTCTCCTGAGGCACGTGATGCTCTGCAGTGCAGCGGTGGAGGGTGAGAGGGACAGGCTCACCAGGGTGGGATGCAGGACAGCTAGAAGGAGTAGAGCTGCACCTCTCCCCTGTGTTTTAAAAGTGATGCCACCCAGGAGGCAGTTTCTTTGCCTGCTTGGCTGCAGCGTCTCTGCCCTGGGGATGCTAAGCAGGAGACTGCCAGGCTCAAAGGACAGAATTTATTATTTTCTTGAAATATAAGAAATCCATTGCTACATCCTCACTACAAGATCTAAGTGTGCAACCTGTGGTATTTTGGGAGCACTGATCCTTCTCACTGCCATCAGTGTGTCAGTACCCATACATCGATGCTGAGCAGGGTAAGGCATGGTAAATAAATACTCTTACAGCTGTGCTCCCAGCTGGTGGCTAGAATGCTCCTTGAAGCCACAGCCTGATCTTTGGGTGATTTTACCTCTGTTGCTTCAATGAGCTAAAATGCTTCTATGAAGCTAAGGACCTGGGTGTTTGTTTCAAACTGGCCAGCTTATCAGGGGCATGAACTGGTTGAATAGAAGAGAAAAGTAACTTCCTGAGCTACTGGAAGTGGCTTCACAAAGCCTGGCACTTACTTGCTCAGTGGAAGAGCAACCAAGTGGTCCTGCCGGTTCAGGGCTGGATCAGCCGAGTGGGTGGTGCCGGCTCCTCCTGCCCGAGCAGCCCTTGCTGGGATCCAGCACGGATCCCCTGATAAGCTGCTGGAGGAACCGCCAAGCATAGGCTGTGCTTTCGTCAGCAATTATTTCTGCAGAAGTTGTGAAAGCAGAGAGGAACTGCCTTCAAACTGCTGATGGTGCCCAACGTCAGAAACCAGCTGAACAAGGGGTTTGCCCTGGCTGGCACCGGCATCCAGGCACTTCAGGCATCAATGGTCCAGCTCTGCCACAAGAGCTGTGCTGTTTGCAACCCTGCCAGAGCTGTGGGACCACCATAACTCACACTCTCCTGTGAACACCCAAATACTCACAGGTGACTTTTTCAGGGAACTGAGGCTGGGACTTGGTGAGTGAGCAACCGGTGCATCAACAGGAGCTTGAGCTGGCACTGACTCATCAGTGGAGGTTAGCCATAAATCTCCCAAAGCAGGTGGTCTTTCACAAGAAACTGGTAAAAGGGCCTGAAAGGAAAATTCAGGGCTCATCAAGCCGCTGAGGGGAGCAAACATAAGCCTGCAGGCCTGGAAAAATGTGAGGTGGGGAGTCAGGGGACTGCTTCCTGTGGGATGTGACGATATCCATGCCAGGGAAGGGTGTTGCTGGCCCTGATGCTGCAAGGGTACCTGAGTGCTTTGGGCTTCTATGGCATTTCCATGAGCAGGGCAGCAGCATTAAGGAAAACTCTGCAGGAGAATAAAGGTTTTTGCAGTCATGGGAGAGAGGGCTGTGGCCTGGCAGCGAGGGACTGGTGAAAAGGTGTTTTGTTGAGACTTGGACTTCTCCTGGGCTCATGCTGACGCCAGCAGGGCTGGAGCTCTCCCTTGGCAGGGAGCAGGAAATGGAGGAAGCAGATGTGTTGCCATGGCAATGCAGGGAGCAGCCGCCATCTGCACAAGCTGCCTTTTCTTCCGCTTTTCAGCCCAAGCTGAGATCCAACGTCAGGGACTGTCTGCCTCAGGTGCCCTGGAAGGCCCACAGCCATCCACAGCCAGGTGG